TTCGCTGGTGATGGACTGAGGCGAACTTAACTTTGATAGAAGTTCTGTATTTGTTTGTTAGCAAACCGAGTGTCATTGTTCGTTATGATTGTTAGTGGTAGACCATATCGACAAATTAGGTCAGTCTAATTGAAGTTTCAGACTACCTCCGCAGTGATTTGAACAAGGGCCTTTGCTTCAATCTACTTTAAGAAGTAGTCTACGACCATCAGGATGAATCGGTGTTGACCTTTGGATGGTGGGAAGGACCCCGATATGTCTAGGACATGGACTAGTGTCTTTCCACTGAAGTGACTCCTGTATTCTTCGAAGTGAACCTCCTAGATATCCTCCATTTAAATTTCCCTCACGCACCTCATGTATAGCGACGTGGTGGACTTCCAAAAAAGTGTTCTGTCTATTAGCAGATATTGGGCGACGTTGTGTCTGAACCTCTTGGGTTTTGAGATTCCCTTTGGGGTTTTTGATGTTTTAAAAAATTTGATGATGGGTCAACCAAACTCACTGTTGGGTCCCTTTCTACTGTCATAACCTCAGGTTCCTCAATGACTGGCCAGCTGAGTACCTGTGGTTCTCCGCTTCCCAAATGGACAAGTCAACTACTTAATTTTCTTTTGCTGATGGGTTTAATTCATAATCGCCAGAACTTCGAGACCTCTGCCTTAGCTTTGTTTAGGTACTTAAAGCATTTTTTGTCTCTGGTTTCAAACTCTAATTTTACCTGATTTACTACGAACTGTGAGTTTGTCTTTACTGTGAGGATTCGGGCGCCCAGTTTGTGGGCCAGACGCAGGCCTGTGATCAGGGCTTAATATTCCTCTTTGTTGTTTGTTACCTTGAATTCAACGGATATGGAGTGGTATATGCATTCTCCCGTCGGGCTGCTGTGGGTGAGTCCTAACCCTGCTACGGTCTTGTTCGTGGTGACGTCCAAGTACAGGATCCACCCCTGACTTTCGTCCTTAGCTCCCTTTGATTGAGTTCCCATGCTCTGAGAATACTGATAGGAAATTTATGATTGCTCGGGCTTTGATCGTTGTTCGAAGAACGTAAGTGTGTCAAATTCACTCAGTTCCACTCCCCATTTGAGCAACTGACGGAGTGTTCAGGTCGGGCCAGTATTGATTTCAGTGGATGGCCTGTGATTATTCGGATGGGATGTGTTTATAAATAAGGTCGTATCCTACGAGTTGACATGATTAGTACAAATGTTAGTTTTTTATAATTACCTGACCTTTGTTACTCGAAGAACTCGGCTGGTGTAATAAACCGGGAACACGGAACTAATCGCTTCGGCGCCTACTCCTAGGTACAGGGAGAGTTCCTTGTTCGGCCTCGGGTTTTGGAGAAGTGGTGGTTAAGACATAGTTTTTGAGGTTTTGGAAGGCTTTTTGGTATTCTTTTGTCCACAGTTAATTTTCGGCCTTTCGAAGGGTCTTGAAGAACGCGACACACTTGTTCCTTGTTCTCGAGTTGAATCGACTAAAAGTCGTGATCTGCCTGGTTAATTTTTGTACTTCTCGTGTATTCCGAAGGGGCAACATGTCAATGAGCGTGTAGAACATATTGGGGTTTGCTTTTATTTATTTCCGGGGTGAGGAGGTAACTTAAGAACTTATCGGTGGAGGCTCCGAACGTGCACTTTAGGGAGTTCAACCTCATATTGTATTTTCTTAAGGTTTTAAAGGACTCTTCCGCTTCCGATATTTTACTTGTTGTTCTGTTGTTTAGCTTTTTACAAGGATATCGTCAGACCTCAAATCTTTTTTCTTTTTTGATTTTTAAAAAACTACATCCAACATATGCTAGTACGCCGCCTTAATGTTTTTAAGCTCGAAAATGTGCCTACGACCATGATGAACGTGGTTTTCTCTGCGTCTGCCGGGCACATCTTGATCTAATGGTAGCCTGAGAAGGCGTCTAATGGTAGCCTGAGAAGCCGTCTAAGAAACTCATGACCAAGTATTCTATGGCAGCATCAACCAGGGCATCATTATGGGCAGCAAGTAACAATCCTTAGGGCAGGCGCTATTTAGATAGGTAAAGTCGGTGCATATCTGCCATTTCCCGTTAGCTTTCTAGACCATGACAACATTTGAGAGGTAAGTGGAATATTGTATTTCTCGGATGTATCTTGTTTCTTGAAGCTTTAGGACCTCTTCCTTGATGGGTGTCGCTAGTGTGCTTACCGAGTTTCTGGCTTTCTGCTTGACTGGTCGGGTTGTATGACTTATGTTTAGCCAGTGGCAAGCTACGTCGGTAGGTATCCCTAGCATCTCTGTGGCGGACCTAGCGAAAACGGCACGACAGTCTCTAAGCTTTTGGATTAGTAATCCTTGGGATTCTGCATCAAAGTTGCCACTTATTAGAGAAGATTTATTGAGTTTACCCTCGCAGACAGGGATTTCGTGGGTGGTTTCACTGGTCTTGACATTTGTTTGAACGCTCCCGTGGGTGGTTTTCACGGGTTTACCCTTCGAGTGTGTAGGTCGAGCGGTTCTTGTTCAACGCTCCCAGCTGCTCGGAGGTAGCATACTTGCGATTGATTCATATACCCCCTGATTGTGATTACTTTGCCATCCCAGTGGATTTGACTGTCACGTGGAAAGTGGATACCACAACCCTAAAACGGTTCAAGTGTGGTCGGTTGAAGTGGCGTTGTATGTCGAATGTGACTCGAGTATCAGGAAATCCTTTGTTTTTGTGAATTGTTTTTCTCCTTCGCCCCAAGTAACCGCCAGTGGAATTACACCAAGTATTTTTTGTTCACCCAAGAAACCAAAAAAAGGAAGGACCGACCGACGCTATCAACCTATCTGTCTGAAGATTGAGTTTATCAAATATTGACTTGAACAAGACGTTCACGGAGGTTCCGGTGTTAATGAGGATACTCCCAACTTTGAAGTTATTGATTATTCTCGTAACGACTATAGCTTAGTTGTATGGGTTTCCCCGTCGCGAAAGGTCATCTTCGATAAACGCCATTGGCTTGTTATTTATGCTCCTTCACACGGTCACTAGGTTGTACAGTTCCCCCGTCTGGGTTACTCTCTTCAGAAAATCCCTTCAAGGGGCATCCTGTCCTCCAAGTATGCTTGAGATAACGCTGGCTGTGCGACCGGTGTTGTTTTGTATATATTTCTTGTTGGTCAACTTCCCTTGGCCGCTTTCCCTTCTCTGCGATCGGCGTACTCCTCTTCTTATTGTTGGCATGAATCCACTTTCACCACATTTTTTAGGATGTTGGATCTAAATATGCCCGGGAGACATGCCTAAGGAATAGAGCATTAGATGAGAAGAGAATAGAAATCCCCACACCCCTCTTTTATGAACAGTGTCAATGTCCCCTTTGCTTATGAAACACTCCCTATTAGTAGGAACAAACTGTCGAACAATTACATCTTATGCCCATAAGGATCTTGGACAAGTTGGGGGTCTTTTAGTCACCTTCAGTATGCAATATGTGGGATCCACTGCCATGGATATTTGGCTCTGGGCTGGGTGGCAATACTCGGCGTGATTGGGAAGTTACGCAGCAGGGTTATGGTCTGGAGGGACGGTTGTGAGGCAGCGTTGATGTTGGACTATGCGAAGTATAGGCCGGATGACCGTCGAGCCGGATCAGTGACTATGATGTTGGCAAATTTATTCGGGGTATACCCCTCCTGAATCTCCCGGAAATATATCGTCCATTCAGTCGGGGTGGATGTTGTCGACTGGTTGTGCGATCTAGACTTGTCCTTGAAAGGTAGTTGTGAGCTACACCACCTATCGGCTATCCGCAGTTCATCTTTACCGATTCCTGTTGACATTCTTTTGTTGTACAGCCCCTTATGGTTTATTTTTTATTTTAGCCTGCAAATCACTAGACTCCAATATGTGCTTGATCATTCTTATCATCAAAATCAAATACAAGTCCAATTTGTGCTCATGGTTTCAACATAATTTATAAAATGTTATTGATTTCTTTTCTCATTAATTCTATTTTCTTGTCATATTGATGCTTCATTTTCTTCCTGTTGGTCGCAAAACATTTTAGTTCATTTTTATCATCTTATTTACCATATATTCTATTCTTTGATCCCTTCAATATATATGATTTCTCACTCTACTCTTATTGTCAAAATTATCTTACTTTTTCATTTCTAGTCACATATTTATGAGTATTTTGTTGCTTACATTTGAATTTATATATCACAGCCTATCAAACTGTACTTTATTCTATTTACCTTAATTTTTTTATTATTTTCTCCAACAGGATAGTACTGCTATAGCACTACTCTATTTTAAGTCCCCAATTTTAATGAAAGAAATTCTGTGCTCATATTTCTATATTTTGTGTTGTCAATCTAAGATGATTAGTTCTATAACACTTTGGTATCATATTATCTTTCACATTACTGTTGGATAAATTAATTTTATGCAATACAAGAAAAATGCACAGTTGAGAATATCTCCATCCTATACTTTTAACAGAATGACTTGAAAAATGAATAAATAAAACTTTTTTTTATTAAAAAAATTAGAACCTTGTTACTTATTTAATCCATAATTTATCCAGCGCTCCTTTACAGCAAATTCATTAAATTAAATTTGAGATCGTATTTTTTTTTTAATTTATATTCTCCAAAGAAGTGTATTTTTTAATCCAAGATACAATGCATGATTTTAATTTATATTTTCCCTGGAATGGTTTGAATTGTGTACTTCATATTTCAAGAACTGCTTGGACTTTGGATTCTGGCTGTCAAGGATGGTTGACCTGGAAATTCTCATAACAATTTTGATATGTTGTTTCTTAATGTTTTGATAAACCTTCTTTATTTTTCATCCTTTTTGTTTGAGTAATTTAAACATGGAAGTTGAAATATTTGGAGAAGATTCTTCTTTTTACAATGTTTTAGTTAATCCCTTTGTTCCTCAATTTATATTATTTATTCACCATTATCTTGGTATAATATTGTCAATATGCTTTGGTATGTTCACATGTCTGTCTGCAGAAAGATCCTCTTCAAGTGAAAGTAAACAAGCTGTCATCCATAAAAACGCAGCTGCCATATTCCTATTATTCACTTCCATATTGCAAACCTAATGTTATTGTGGATAGTGCTGAAAATCTTGGGGAAGTTCTTCGTGGCGATCGAATTGAAAACTCCCCATATGTGGTAATTGTAACTCTATGATTGAGAGATTTTGATTTTGATTTTTATTGAATACACACCCTAAAGACTAGTCCCCCTTACTCTTTGTAAGGGGCCATTATAGTGCCAGAGTTTATAAAATTATCAATTTACTCCTTAACTCTTTTAATATGGGTTGAAATAGTTCTCAATGAGGACTATTTTAGCTCCCATTAAAAATAGTATGGAAATTAACTTAGCACTTTTATAAACTCCAGGACTAAAATGACCCAATGTAAATAATGAAAAGACTATTTCGGCAACCAACTTATTTAACACATACTTCCATTTTAATTGCCTCCAGTTTTCCATGAGGGAGCCACAGATGTGCAATATAATCTGCAAGCTAACTCCCACTGAAAAACAAGCGAAGCAATTTAGGGAAAAGATTGAGGATGAGTATAGGGTCAACATGTAAGTATTTTATCCTTGAGCCCTTTTACATTTTAATATTCGATGGGACATCTATTAACATTTTTATTTATTTATTTTTTTTCCGTGTAATGCAGGATCCTTGATAATCTTCCTCTAGTTGTACCTATCAAAAGGATGGATCAAGATTCCACGACGGTTTACCAGCAGGGCGTCCATGTTGGAGTCAAAGGCCAATATACTGGGGTAATTACATAGTGATATTTAATACCTCAGGGGTCCGTTGGGATTACTTTTATTTCCTATTTGTTTATGATTTTGATTTAAATTAAAATATTTTTGATTGAGCTAATTATTTTTAAAAATACCCAAAATTTCTTTTAGGTCTTTTGAGCATTTTTAAAAATAAGTTAATTTTTTTAACAAGAAATATTATAATTATAGCAACCAAATATATTTTCAAAAATTAAAAAAAGCAAAAACAAAACTGATGTTAAATGGTCCTGAAGTACTGTAATCTTCACAAACCCAAGAATGGTTGTTTTTATTCACAACTGAAAACCACTTTTGCAGAGCAAGGATGAGAAGTATTTTATCCACAATCATTTGTCTTTTCTTGTAAAATACCACAAAGATGAGCAAACTGACTTCGCAAGGATAGTAGGCTTCGAAGTTAAGCCCTTCAGGTTTTAAACCTCATCCTCAAACCTTTTTTATTTTAAGAATCTATTTTTTTTAAATTTTTTTATTTGAATTAACATATTTTTTGGTCAGCGTTAAGCATGTATACGAAGGAAATTGGAATGGTAACCAAACTCGCCTGATGACCTGTGATCCTCATGCAAAACGCACGGTTTCGAACTCTGACAACCCACAAGAGGTGGAGGAGAACAAAGATATCATATTCACATACGATGTTGAGTTTCAGGTTAGTTATTCCATGCATTGGAAAATTTGAGCTAGAATTTCTAGTGCACTGATCATTTCAATGAGTCAAGTAATCTACCGACGTGATATTGATGCGTTACTCTTTCCTTCTTGTTTGTTAGGAGAGCGAAATCAAGTGGGCTTCTCGTTGGGATTCATACCTTCTTATGTCTGACGACCAAATTCACTGGTTTTCAATTGTCAATTCTTTGATGATTGTCCTTTTCCTCTCCGGCATGGTAGCCATGATCATGCTGCGAACCCTCTATCGAGATATTTCAAAGTACAACCAGCTAGAAACTCAAGAGGAGGCTCAAGAGGAAACGGGATGGAAGCTCGTCCACGGAGATGTATTCAGGGCTCCCACAAACTCCGACTTGCTCTGCGTGTACGTCGGAACTGGTGTCCAGTTCTTTGGCATGCTTCTCGTAACCATGATTTTTGCAGTTCTTGGCTTTCTCTCTCCATCAAATAGGGGAGGTTTAATGAGCGCCATGCTTCTCCTCTGGGTCTTCATGGGTATCTTTGCTGGGTACTCCTCCATTCGGCTGTACAAGAAGTTCAAGGGTTTGGAATGGAAGAAAATTGCTCTGCGGACTGCATTTACATTCCCCGGAATCATATTCGCCATTTTCTTCGTGCTGAACGCTATCATCTGGGGCGAAAAATCCTCTGGCGCCGTCCCCTTCACCACCATGTTTGCTCTTGTCCTGCTATGGTTTGGCATCTCCGTTCCTCTCGTCTTCGTCGGCGGTTACATCGGGTCGAGGAAACCTGCGGTAGAGGACCCTGTGAAAACCAACAAGATCCCCCGGCAGATTCCAGAACAGGCATGGTACATGAACCCGCTCTTCTCAATACTGATCGGCGGAATACTTCCGTTCGGAGCGGTTTTCATCGAGCTCTTCTTCATTCTGACCTCGATTTGGCTCCAACAGTTCTACTATCTCTTTGGTTTTCTGTTCCTCGTCTTCCTCATCCTAATCGTGACCTGCGCGGAGATCACGATTGTGCTGTGCTACTTCCAGCTGTGCAGCGAGGATTACTCGTGGTGGTGGAGATCTTACCTCACCTCAGGTTCTTCTGCACTCTACCTCTTTCTCTACGCTGCTTTCTATTTCTTCACCAAATTGGAGATCACAAAATTGGTGTCTGGGATTCTGTACTTCGGTTACATGCTGATTGCTTCTTATGCCTTCTTTGTGTTGACTGGCACCATTGGTTTCTATGCTTGCTTCTGGTTTACAAGGCTTATTTATTCATCCGTTAAGATTGACTAACTGTTAGCCTGGCATTTGTGGAAAGGTTTGAGTTTAAGAACGCGAATCATCTTACCATATTTTATTTCTTTTACATGGCTATAGTTTTGAATTCACTGGATGTTTTTTAGTTTTAATTTGATCCCATTTCTGTAATCAAATTAAGCTTTGGCTTCTTGATCTGTAGGATGGAGGATTGCTATAGCTGTTGTTGTCTTGGCCTGATTTATTTTTTTTTAGTGATTAAGGTGACTGATTACAATAATGAATTTTAGAATTTTTTTTTTGTTTTTGTTTTTTGTGATTATGTTTTTGTGCCTTGTTTTTTGGTCCTGATGTGCTGTATTTGTAGTATTTTTGATGTACATACCACTCAATTCTTATACATATACTTGTCTAATACCTAAACTTTCATATTTACATAGCACTCAAATTATTTAATATTGCATAAAATTATATCACAGTTAAATATAAATATCAAATTTTGTGTCAGGCATGTAAACGCATAAGAAATGTGGTATGTATACAAATTTCTCAATGTATATACGTGGGAGTCAAACAATAGAAAGTGGACACTCTTATCTATGAAATAAGCAATTTTTTAAATGAAATTTTAATTTTGTATTATATGTTAGTGGCCTGATAAATGGGCGGAAAAATATTACATTAGGACTCCTAATGTAGAGCTACGTGCGGATTGGAATATTCGGCTGTGTTAAGAGAATATTCCTTCTGCATTATTTGTAAAAATGATGTGTTATTCGAGTGTTATATGATGTTATTCGATTATTTTGTTTTATTATTGGAATATTCGCTCACATTACTTGATTTGAGGCTATATTATTTAGCATATTTTTCGTGTTATTTCAATTTTCATTTTGTTATTAGAATAACACTTAAAGCCCCAACTCAAGTAACGCAATTGAATATTTCAATAACATTGTAAAATAATCAAATAACACCATATAATACTTGAATAACACATTATTTTTACAAATAATGCAAATAATGCAGATGAAATATTCCGTAACATAGACGAATATTCCAATCCGAACGTAGATCTACGTGTGGAATCTTGATGCGCTGGTGGGCCAATGTCACTGATTTCAGCTTCAGATTGATACGTGAAGTTTCTGGCAATGTGGCCGCATCGGATTCGGCATTCGGAAGTGTTTTTTTTTCCATTTCATAATGAACAATTTTCTCACGTCTCCCCATTCATTGCTTTCTTATTTAATATTTATTAATGGTAGATAAGGGGTTGTTGGAACTTTTAGAATGTTCAATTTTCAAAACTTTAACTAAATGAATTAATATATGCCAAGGGGAATACCAATATATATCCATGGCAAAGATAAGAGTCCATGAGGGCAAACATGCTCGCTCTCCCATGATTTTGGCCTCTAACAAAATTTTGATTGATAGAATATATAACCTATTATTTGCTGAATTTGTATTCTGTCAAGCAGATTAGTTATATTTAGATTGAATTTTGTTGAAAATGATTTCAATTTTTTCATAAAAAATCTCATCTTTTATGAACAAATATACTTGACGTGTGTTGAATTGATGGACAGTTTCTGGCAATTGTGCAGGTTTAGGCAATCATACAAGTATGAATGCAAATAATTCATATCCTAAATTACTTTAAAACATGTACAGAAACATATGCATACAAATTCATAAAATTATGATGTTATTAAGAGATATTTACATACATACCACACAATTCTTATGTATTTGTCATATATATCACCTAAAATTTAATATTTATGCTTGTAACACCTTGGTGTCATCAACATATACATGAAAAAAATATGTATTTCATATTTAAAAAAGATTGTGTTGGTGGTGTTTGATGTGATGCTAAAAGATTTGAGTGACATGCATGTAAATATGGATGTTTAGATACTAGATGTGCAAATACATAATAGTGTGGTATGTATGTAAATCCTCGCCCATATGAGAGAATTTCAATAACCATGAAAATGAGATCTCAACTTCTCACATCTAGTGGAGAGATTACTACGTCTGTCGTCCGGACACCGAGCTACGTCCGGGCGACGTCCGTGATACAGCAGAGGTCCTCACGATCGTCGCCCGGATGCAGCTCGACGTCCAGACGATGGACGTAATAAATTTTCCATCTAATGTCCCTTCTTTATTATTCCATCCCAGTGCCACACCACACAATACCAACAAAGAATTTTCGATAAATCTTCTTATGCCATCAGGGCCCTTCCCATACAATGATTTTTGGCATTGGAAGCAACCTATCAATCAAATAAGTCTAACCTGAATAAATAGTTTAATTTGAAATAGAAAGTCAAATTTCAGTCGAATCATCTCCATTTTTTCCCCTAGATTTCAAAGTCAGATTTGAATTATAAATCCCTAAGCCAAAAAGTCTCCTTCTTTTTGATACTTCTCTTTCTCAATTTCCCATTTCTTCTTGGCTTAGGTTGATAATTATAGCATACATCTCATATACTTATACATAGGAAAATTGACATACATGATACATATCACGTAATTCTTATGTATTTACAAATATAATACTTAAAATTTCATATTTACATTTATAGCAATTTGATGTCTTCGTCCAAGGCAACAGAACATGTATTTCACTTTTAAAAAGTTAGTTTGGGATAGCTGTAACTTATTGAATAATCTGCTAATAAGCTGATTAAAAATAATCTGCTGATAAACTAGATGCGGTGGCTATTATCAATTTTTATTTTTTTAGAAAAGTCAGATCATTGCCAATAAACTCCCATCTATGTGTGGTATGAAAACATTATTTTCTGCGTTTTAAAAATGCCTAAGCTGCTAAAACGTAGTTTACCCAAATAGGTCAGATGCGTTTTCAAAACGCCACCACACCAAATAAGCTGTCCCAAACGGGCCATTATTAGTATTTATTTTTTATATGCAATTAAAGATTTGCGTGATATGCATACAAATATTAAAGTAGGTATTGAATACGTAAATATATTAGATTTTTGCTTTCTCAAAATATATGCATGAAATATACGTTTCATACTAACAAAATGACTTAATCTTCATAATATTTTTATGGAAAATAAAAATTCAACTATTATAATATATATATAATGATTTACATACATATTTCATAAAATAAAACACCTTTTTCCTTCCTCTCGCTCTAATCCCCAACTAATTCTGGACTTTTTAATCTCTCAAATCCCCAATTTAGCCTTTTCTTAGAGAATTAAATCTCTCACTCTCGAAAAATTGTTAGGTCCGGACTAATGACTTCAAGGCAGCTGCCACCGCCGGCGAACTACGCCGCCGTCCACCACCGTCAAAAGTCCCATCTCCTCTTCCTCGCCACCGCCGCCGCCTTTCCCTCCGCCATCTTCCTCGTCCTCGCGCTCCTCTTCATCTACCTATACTTCTCCCACAATCGCTCCCCAACTCCCCCCTTCCACTCTC